TTAGAGAGAGAGAGAAAAAAATATTTTCGTAATTTTAAGCAATACTTATTTATCATGTGAGTTTTAATATTTTAGAAAAGTTATGCTTATATACAACTGAAAAACGAGCATATTTGTGCAAAAGTTTAGGCCTTCTACATGGTTCTCTCTCTCTCTCTCTCTCTCTCTCTCTCTCTCTCTCTCTCTCTCTCTCTCTCTCTCTTCTCACTGTTTTGTCTTTTTTGCGATTGGTTCGAAGTTAACCTTACGTAAATTATATTCGGATCATCGATAATGATGTTAAATATCTTATTGAGGCCATATATCAAATGCGTGGGCATGGGTTTGAAGATGTCCTGGCAGATAAAGATAGGAATTTTCTCAACCTAGCTGGCCAGTGAGGCGAACCGAGAATTTAGTAGGCGTTATTAACTATTTCGTAGTTCCCAATAGCAATGACATCGAGATGACATGGGCAAGACTTTATAAATATATAAAACTATGCAATGATGGATGTATGTTTCTGGACTCTTACTTAAATTAAATGAGCTTGCCTGTAAAGCCACTTTTCTATTAAACAAAATAAAATTCGTTTATTTCTACATTGATGGGCCTCATGAATTGTCAGAAAAGCAGAAGAAATTTTAACTTTTTAAGAAACAAGATTTCTGTTATCAATAGTTTCAAAGGTAGTTAGGAATACCTGTTCTTGAAAGATATAAAGTTTTAAATGTTTTTCGATAGGTAAGTTCGAGAAGTTCCTAATAGTAGAAATTTTTTTGTCTTTTTTTCCTTTCTATCTAGTCTTTCCTCTAATTTCGCCCATGTCTCTCAACGCAGAATCCTAGGTCCCATCCTTTACTCCATTTGCAATTTTTATTTTATTTCCTTCATTTCCACTTAATTCATTCTTCCAGTCAACTAGTATGGTACATAAGCTGAGCTATTTCATGAACAATGTACATCATAACATAAAAAATAAAAAATTTAAATTCAGTTGACTCTGAGGAGGAGGCATCCATTTTTTCAGGTCTCTTCTTACGTAACAAACCGTCATCAACGAAATTCTGAACTGGTCTCTTTGCTTTTAGGTCTTTGGACGTATCAGATCAGGTAAAATTTTCTATTCTGAGTTACACTTTGTCGACGATTATACAATCTATACAATTCTCTGATTTTGGCTGACGAATCCGTGATTTGTATAAGAAAAATTCCATTGTAAAGGAAAGTCAGTAGTTCTTACGATAGTATTTATAGGTACGTTAGAAACAGGATTGCTTTTTACGGAAGGATCGAAGGATTTCAGAGGTTTTAAGGTAATAACCAGGAATTTTCTTTTTGGGAAGGTTTTCGATGATGTACTGGATTTCTGAATGATGAAAAGCTTTTGGTGGTAGGGAAAGAAGTAGTAGAGAGAACAGCCAAAAAGGAGTTGCTTAAAAATTTAGAAACTCCATATCATGGTTAAATGATATCTACGAAATTTTAAAAAAAAAGTTCTCTTTAAACAGGTCAACTTAGTTTTACGATAATACTAGGTAATTTATTTAAACTGAAAATGGCAAAAAGAGGGAAAATTCGAACGGTTATAGGTTGAGATGGAGAGTTGGTGTCCGAGAGGATTGAAGCCACGATAGCTCAAGTGGTAGAGCAGCGGCGTATTTAGCCGAAGATCGTGGGTTCGAATCCCGTTCATGACACTGACTTTTTATCTCAACCAAGACCTTAGAAAGAATAAATAATTGATTCAAAGAAGTAACTTGGTCCGTTTACCACGAAAACGTAAATGGGTTAAATAATAAAAATGAAACATTTCTACAAAAATATCAGGTCAACATATTTCTGAATAAGAGACGTTGACAGATGTTTTTTTTCTGTAAATCCTAGCTGTCTAAATGTGATGACTTAGTAGTGTTAGTTTTAAGCGACTGCTTATCAGCCGTATGCCGAAATTGATGGCTCTTCTATAAATAAGGAGCCAGGAAATTGAATTCCGTGCCGGGCGATACACGCCGAATATACGGCTTCTCTCAGAAAGAAGATTTAAATTTAACACATTCCTTTTGATTAAAACCAACATTTAATTTAAACTTTAATGGGTTCAAGATTTTGTTGACGAAGTCGTGTTAATAAAATTCCTCAACTCCCTTTCTTCAGGCGGGCCAAGATTTTCATCTTCAAATATTGAGAGGATAAGAAAAACTGTACAATTCTACCTGTTTCTATTAATCAGTTTGAATGGATTTAATCAAAGTTATAAGTGCGAATCATTAGAACTTCAGCGAAGTATTGGGCTTTATTTGAACTATATTAACAATATTAACTTTTTTAATTATTTTTATCAGCTTATTCTTAATTATATAATTATGCAATTTATTATATTTAGCCGAGGGTCGTGGGATCGAATCCCGCTCGTTAAACAGACTTTTTTTCTCAACCAATACCTTACATAAAGATTAATTAATTGAAAAAAGTTATTCGGCCAATCGGACCACGAACTCTAATGAAAGGAATAATGTTTTAATGTCGTTAGCATAGGCTTGAGAGAGTTTATGTGTGACAGAGAGAATAGAGAGAAATCAGGAAAGAGGGAATTAGATACAGTATAAAAAGGAGATATGAATAAAGAAAAGATCGGTGCGGGTATTGGCAATGTGTCTAAAAAAAAGAGGAATATAATGGATGTTTGTCAAATATTTTTTGGTTTATGTATTAATGATAAATATTATATTGAGAAAGATATATTGAAAAATAGATATAGATATTGACAGATTGATTGATATGAAAATAGGTACATAGATGTATATATTGGCTCATTGATAGTTGATAAAGAATATAATAGATATAAATGTAAAGACTTATTATTACAGAAATGTAGAGACAGGCTACATTCGCTAACTCGCAACTCTCGACTCAACCGGTAGTTCAAAATCGAAAAAAACATACTTTTACGAAGTTTTTTTTACTTTTGATATTTCCTTAGTTTTATAAAGTTTTTCTAGATAATTTGACCAAATTTTAACAAGATTGATGAAGAAGTTGAACTAGTCGACAGGCTACATTCTCTAACTCCCAACTCTCTACTCAACCAGTTGTTCAAAATCGAAATATCGGAAAAAAAACATACTTTTACGAAGTTTTTTTTACTTTTGATATTTCCTTAGTTTTATAAAGTTTTTCTAGATATTTTGACCAAATTTTAACAAGATTGATACACGAGATCAAGTTGGACTAGTCGACAGGCTACATTCGCTAACTCGTAACTCTCGACTCAACCGGTAGTTCAAAAACCAAAAAATCGGTAGCCTATCGAAGTAGTGATATCTACATTCTGGCCAACTCTTCACTCCTACTTTTATGAGCAACACTGTTCTTTTATTTTTATTACCAGTTTCTGAGCCGTGAGGAGACTGGAATTTTTTCTTTTCTTCTGGGTTCTCTCATTTCCCTTCACCCACCTGTCCTGTGTGAGTACACATGGACCGTTTAATCCTCATTGAGAAACTGGCCAAATGTTAAGCGATAAAAATTTAACATCTATTTTCCAGCTGGAACTTTGTTTTTAGCCGAATTCTAAAGTTCAATCAACAAGTGCCGAACCCAGAACCCAGGGTTTTTTTTAACGGGACTTTTTTTAAATCCTCACAATTAAAAAACACTATTTCAGCCGGGATCGTAAAATTCTTTTGTTTATTATTTCTCCCTTTAGACGAATGTTGGCCGAGCGGATTTGGAGAGTTTCCAAATCTTTGAAATTATGAGATTTTTCTACCGCCTAATTCTTTCCCCCCGCCCTGTTATGACTCTTTAATAACTAAAGAGAAATATTATTATCGTTATTTACCTCTGTAAATATATTCGCGGTTTTATTTAATTTAATACTGTTGTGATTTTTGTGATTTTTAACGGCTTGAGCCGAGCCGTACGTCGAAAACGCCCCTGAAAACAAAAGCCCAGAGGCGTTTTATTTAATGATATAATTAAATGATGCTTGATGCTTTATAAACCACATGGCCGACATGGTATAAAAATTAGTTTTCAATTAGTGAATGAAGTTCAATAATAAATAGTTAAAGTTTGATACCATGGTGATTATTATTTGGTGTAAATATCTCTTCCGCGTATCAGAGTTTGTTTAAAACCTTTTTGTAAATGATATAAAATTTAAACTATTTGTTGGCGAGGAGTAAACAAAATAGGTTTCTCCATTCAATGGAATAATCCAATCGAACTGTAACCCACATGCCTGACCAATCTATTTACCAACCTCCCTCTATGCTAAAAAAAATTGAATTTCAAAGGCATTGTTTGCAAATTGTTTCCTCAAGTAGGTGTGGGAGAAGTCCAACAATGGGAACGGCAAATGGGCCGATCGATAAACTATTAGATCCGACATCAAGAGCATATCGGATGGATATGCTTATTTGACGAATATATCATTATTTGAAAACCTGGGCAGTTATGGTAAACTTAATACCTCCCCATCATTCTTCGCACATTTTGCCAATTGTAAATTTTTCGATTCAATGTTGAAAAAATTCCTACTAAAAAATTGATCGTTTTGCCAATAAATGTAAAATTTGTCCAATACCTTTAAAAAATCAATTGTAACATATTCTATTACAATTGCGGTCTATAAGTTGTGATTTCTAATTCAAAATTATAAATATGTATTATGATTAGCATAATTGTTATTAAAGATGTTACTGGCATGCCCGATGCCATACCGTTCAAAGGCTGAGGCAAGGCAACAAATACGTTTTTTCAATCGTTCTGTTGAAAGAGATTTTGTCTTTTGATTATGTTTCATCAGTTTAAATTTTAAAAAATAACCGTGGAGGGATTCAATAAAATTTAAAACTCTCTCAAGAAGAAAAAAAGCTTTTCACTGATGTAAAATTACAATATACATTCGTAAGCTGACTCCACTGACGTTGAAGGAGGAGTAGCACTAAACTGTCGGGTTGCATCAAGCAAAGGAATAATGTTATGAGGATGAGATGTAACAAAATGGTACTTACACATATGTTCTCCTAGGACCCATGTTTCTGGTTGAGAGTTGACTTCGACGAGTACGGTCGGAGTGCAGATGAGTAGGACCATGAGGTCGGCTATGCTCAGGTTCATTAGGAATATGTTGGTCGAGTTCCTCATGTCTTTCGTTTTGATGATGACGAGGGGGACCATGACGTTGCCGACGACTCCGATCCCGAGGATGACGGTGCACAGGACCATGGAAACGGTCCGAATGTAGGCCGGAAAAACCGGCGTCGGGTCGGTCGCCTCGAAATGAGTCAGATTCGTGGACAGGTTTTGGTTGAATAGATAGTCCACCGTCTCATTCTGGTCCCCGGCCGTGCCTAGGCCTGAAATCATGCGTCCCAGCGGCTGGCGGGACCACCCACCATCCCAACAACTTCTACCACCTCTGGAACAAACAACAAAACCATCCATCATTCCCTGTCCTACGGGACATTTCTAAATTAGTCGCCTTTCCAATTTGTTTCGGCCAAATAAACACCATAGCACATTGATATTATTTATGTGATTGATTTATGTTGTTACATATTAATTGAAATTCGAACAATTGTCAAAATATTTTTTATGGGAGACCGGGTAAAGGACAGAAATTCCAGAGGCGACCGTCGGAGTCGAACCCACGACCGCTAGTCCAGTTTTCAAATTCAAATAAAATTAGCATGTCTGTCATAGTTATAATGTAGTCTGGCCGTTTCCGATGAGATTAATCTGCTTATCCTCGCTGTCAGAGACGTTTCATTTTCGCACCTTCAGTTAATTTTCAATTTTCATTGATACTCATAAAATCATAATTAATAGAATATCGTGCTCACGGTAATGGTAACCTAACCTAACCGAACCCATGCTTACCCCACGGTGACGCCCATTTTGACGCTTTTCGTAAAATAAATTTGTGTCCATTCGAAAAGCACATTAAAATGAGGAGGAATGTAATGTGACGTCAGTTTGTCTGTTTATAATCCTGGCCCAGCGTAGTCTGGCAGACCTAAACAGCAAGGTTAGACTGAAATGATCGACTATAGATTCATCAGCTCACCGATCTCAGAAGGACATTTGGCAATAGTTTATATTTCTAAGAGTGGTCCTGGGTTCAACAATTGTCATGATTTTTGTTAAAATTTTCTGTAATAATTGAGAGTTTGAGACGAAAACCAACTGGCTACCGTGGTCCCCAAATATTCCAAAATTTATTCTGTTTCCGATCCATTCCATCCATCCTTCTTCACGGTAAAACAATCATTGACATGTCACTTGATCTAGCCCAACCCCACCCTTGCGCACTCCCCAGCAATGCAAAAATGGTAAAAAGTAAAAAAATGTGTATCCAGCACAAATATGTATCTACGTTCATATGAACGGGAATGTGCGCCTCACCCTGTTTATACCCCTGACGCATCAGTCTGGCCTATAATAGCCAGGTTAAACAGACCAATGCTAACGGAATCGACCAGATTGTAGATTCATTGCCTCACAAACGACATGAATAATCCGACAATTGTTTATATTTCTATGCTCGGTCTCGATTTAGAACCAAGAACCACTTGACTGACTCAAAATTATTTGATATCAGACAGAAGATTTTCCTCCTTTAAGTTTGAACATGATTGTCCTGCTTCAACTGTGCAGTATATCCAATATTATGAATGATCAAAGGCCTTAATTTCATTGTATTAATAATTAAAGGTCATTCACAAAAACTTCAAATTCTTCGACGGGCTTTCATCAGATTTTTAAACGTGACAAATAGAGATTCTGATGCCTAGTCCAGAAGTTGGACATGATGGTAAAAATCACCTTCGTACACCACTGTCTTTATTGACTTTCATCAAACCTAGCAAAGTTGCACACTTTCTTGCATAATTCGATAGGACTGATCATTTGTATATTCTAAGAGCGCAGAATCTACGTTAATTTTTTTCCGACGACTTGTCAAGTCATTCTATCTTTTTCCTTATATTGTAACTCTAAGGATACATTTTATTATTGCTGAAAGCGGTTCTTTGTACAAATATAATTTATTTATACAAAATGTATTTTGGTATGAAGGTTCAGATGATCGTAGTATTTTGACAGAGAACTAACAAAACTTAGCAATTTCGATTTTTTGTTTTTGTAAATTTTATTTTTTATTGTGTTGTGAATGAAACGATGAAACCTACTAAATTAAATTCACTTTATGTTAATGACATTCTTTTAAATTTAAGACGTGGTAATAAAAATGCAAGGAATGTAAGGAATGACACAAACACAACTGACCTTCTTTCAAAACGGGACGCTTTTTATTTCAGGCGAGAAAAAAAATCCTTTATGCATAAAGTGTGCGCCCACTTCCTTCTCATCAAATAAAATGAAACCCACGCTGAGTATGTGATCTGGGAAGAAAACAAGAAATCGTGACCGGGTGCGTGCCGGTAATCGTCGACCTGTGCATTGGACGGTTGACCAAAATGTCCATTAAGGCGGACGTACTCTTCGTGAATTAACTAGAGCCCCTCTCAATGTTATTGCCGCCATTAAATTTACATTAAAACTCTATTTCTATGGAGATCCAGGACAACGCGCCGGCACAACGGAAGCATTTGGCAGATTGGCAAATCAATTATGTTTCCGGGGTTCAAAAAATACCGGCGAGACTCGACGGACAATTGGTTGATTAAAATAATATTTAGTAATGTCATACTGGATAAATTTAACTGACATCGCTGATTGACGTTTAAATTCCTTTTTCTGCTATATTAATTGAACCTTTTGTTGATTCCAACCGCAACAAAATATAAAGTGACTTGAAGTTATCAACTTAATAACCCCTGTTAACCAAGTTTCACATAATGTCGATATAGTTTCACTAATGTTATAAGTTGAAGTGTATAACATACACCGAAGATCCGAACTCCGCGAGAATTGACGGACCCCAATTATCTGAGAATCTTGCGAAGAAAAATCGTACATCTTTCCTCGCATTGCTATTGTCATATTGGAAAAACTATGACTTTTTTGTACAAAATTGCTGAAATTGTTTTCCTTCTTTTTTTTTTTACCTGCAATCCAAAGACATGACGCGATTTTTCGCATTCGCACATCCACATCACCGGGTTCGGAACGAACTGGCGAAAACGCGAAATCCACGAGATCCCACTATTCGTCCGACAGGGTCGTAAATCCAGATAATGACCGATCGACCTTTGGCATGGTAAAACAATGTGCAGAAACCCAAAGAATTATGGGCAGAGTTTAAAATATCAAGGATTAAGATGAGCATAGGATTGGCCTTAAATTCACTAGTCACTGATGAGTCGTTGGTGTTCATTGTTTTGTTAGAAAAATTAAAATGAATAGGTAATGATACATGTATATAACAAGACTAGCACTACATAGAGCAATGTATTTGTTAAAAGTTTAAACAACCATAAAAAAATTAGAAAAACTTTGCAATGTTGAAGATAACTTTAAATGCCTGTAATAAACTGAAAACATATGAAATGTTCAACTCAAAACATAAAACGTACTCCCCAAAAACTTACAAATGAATATCCTATTGCATATTTATAAACTTTCCTTTCAAAAATAAAATATAGCGAATGTCATTCAAGAGTGTCTTACATAGAAATACCAGTAATAAAGTGCTCCCTAGTTCGCTTATATAAGGCCTCTTTCAAAGTGAATAACAAAACTTCATTAATTTTCAGCACATTCCAAAATAAGCGTTTAGAACTTCTTTTTGTTCAGCTTTGGACAGCTGAAATAACTCATCCTTTACGGACTACAGATTCTGAGACTTGCTCGGTTGAATATCTAATCCCTGGTCGGACTAATCTTGCTAGTTGGTTTGTTCTTACTTTTCTTCGTCGTTGAGATGTCCCTGACTTTGAGTTAGATTTCTGAATACATGCCAGTTTGTAAGAAAATGTGCAATGTTAGGAAAATGTATGTCAATTTAAACGCAAAAAACTGCTTCATATTTTTTCTGATTTAACATTATTTCTTATTCACCCTTTTGTGAACTCGTTCTCTTTCTCTCTCTATCTATCTATCTATAGATATATCGTACCTTAGAAAGACCCTATATTGGCAAATCGCGCCAAGCAAATTCTAGACCGTACAAAAAAATTAATAAATAAATAAAAAACAATAAAACTGTTTTAATTCTGTGTGTGTGTGTGTGTGTGTGTGTGTGTGTGTGTGTGTGTGTGTGTGTGTGTGTGTGTGTGTGTGTGTGTGCGTGGTGTGGTGTGGTATATGTTATGTGTGCATATGGACATAATAAAGGAGTCATGTTTATTATCACACATACTAAATTATCGTTTATTTAACAATTACTACTATTGTACTATTTAACAATTATTTATTACAAACTTGTTAGTAGTAAGGTAAACTATAAGTTGGACTAATAAATTAATCCGGACTGGTTTCCTATCCTATTTTTGTAAAATTACGTCGACAAAATAATAGTAAGAGTAATTAAATGAAAAGCGAAAACCAGCAAAAGGAAACCTATCAGAATAGGGAAAAATATCAAAATTATAGAAAAATTAATTTCAATTTTTTTTACATTTAATTTTCAAAAATAAATTATAGCGAATATCATTGAACTTAAAAAAAGACTGTCTTAAATAGAAATACCAGTAGTATCAGTAGTATAGTACATCCTAGTTCGCTTATATATCTTTCAAAGTGAAAAATAAAACTTCATCAATTTTCAGTACATTCCAAAATCAGCGTTTAGAACTTCTTTTTGTTCCAGGTTTGGACAGAATTCTAGAGCGTACAAAGAATTAATAAGTAAATAAAAAAAGATAAAACTGCTTTAACACTGCGCGCACGCCCGTGTGTGTGTGGTCACAATATAGGATTCATGTTTACTATCGCGCATATTTAATTTTAATTATTTAGTGGTAAGATAAACTATATAAGTTGGACTAATAAATTAATCCGGACTGGTTTCCTATCCGATTTTTGTAAAATTACGTCGAGAAAATAATAGTAACAGTAATTAAATGAAAAGAGGAAACCAGCAAAAGAAGTCCTAGAAAATATCAAAATTATAGAAAAATTAATTTTCCCTAACTTCCATGCGCCATAGGAGGAGTTAAAACAGTTTTACCTTTTTTATTTATTTATTTTACGTTCTAGAATTTTGTTTGGCGCGGTTTGCCAATGTAGGGACTTTCTCAGGCATAGCAGGGTGGTGGCTGGGCAAAAAAATATTATTTTTCTTTATATTGTACTTCATATACTTTAATTATTTAAATAATATAGTGTGGTGTTTAGTGACCCGTTCGCCATTGATTATTTGGAGATCGTGAGGTGCGGTCTGGAGTGACATAGGTTTTAGAAAACCATTTTCTTAATTATGCCAACGTTTTGATCTTTATTGAGATCATCTTCAGA